TGTTATAAGTTGTACGAAATTCTCTAACAAAAAAAACGACTCTCGCGAGTCAAAAAAACAAAATAAACACTGCCATTATGAGTTAAGCAAGTGCATCAAACGCTTTCTAAACAGTTTTCATAATAATAATGAATTCCGTTAAAACGGTGACTCTACGTTTTTAGTTGTGATTGTAACATTCCTAAAATGTATCGTACATACACACACATACATAGATACTAAATTTTAAATTAATCGGTTGACGGAAAGAGAGTGAAATTAAAATTACCAAAGACCTAAGAAAGAATAAACAAAAACACCTTCAACATAAAAGAAGAAAAATACATCACAATCTACATACAATTGAAAGGAAAACGAACACAAAAATAATTATGGCAGACTTCGCAATTGCATTGGTTATTTCGCAAGGCATAATAACCATTGTTCTGGAAACATCACGGGTAAAAATAGCCGATAAGTTTAGGCAATTCGCTTCGCCGCCGAAAGTTTTAAGGTAACCACAAAAATAAAAAAGGTCCACGCACCGTAGACGTTCACTGTTGAAACAAAACGAAATACAAAATATTTATTACAATGTGTTTCAATATACTGAACTTTCAATGGGTACACTGTGCCTTTGGTGAAGAGCAATTCACTAATCAAACCATAATAACAAATATTCTGAAATAACTTAATGGTAAAGACATTTTCTCCCACTTCTTGTCTAAAACTTGGAACAAGATTTTGACTTTGTGACTGGAGATCACATGACTCGAAAAACTTGAATGCAGCTTGTTCTAAATATTCCAAGGTGTTGCAGAAAGGCCCTGAACACGTGACAAGTGCATTTTATTAAAACCTTGTCAAATGAGTGTGAGATTGCCTTCAAACGCATCAATTTCATCGTGAGGGTGCTATTTTTTGATATTTAACTTTATTAAAAGTAAGAGTGTTTCATTGAAATTAATCTGACCAATTAGATACTAAGGTACCTGGAACATAATATCAAAAATATGATGATCAAACTACTAATTATAATGCAAAATCATATTAAAATTTTAAAATTGTACCTAAGGTAACTTTTTTTATGGCATAAGCCGGTAAACGAGCAGACGGATCCCCTGATGGTAAGCAATCGGCGTCGACCATGGACACCTGGAACACCAGAGGCGTTACAAGTGCGTTACCTCGTTGCAAGCGTTGCTTCACGTCGGTTTTCTGTTAGGCCGTGGTATCACTCCGGTCGAGCCGGCCCATTCGTGCCGAAGCATGGCTCTGCCACACTTAAAATTTATTTCTTTAGGTCTTAATTAGATGCATAGTTTATAATGAGTGTGTTTTTCTCTATTTAAATTAAACCGTTCAACGTTTTGACGAAAATACAAGTAACTTTTAGCCAATCGGCGCGAAATGTACCCATTGTGTGAAATTTTCATAAATCAGGCGATGTAATGTCGCATTAACCTGGTAATTATGTTTCAAACGGTCTTATCGTCTACATGGGAAAATCTACACGTAACCGACAGTTAACTAATTGACATCATTGATATATTATTGGAGTGCAGCTGCTTATTATAAAGGTCGACGAAGTGCTGAGATCGATAACAACAACGTAAAAACAATGAACACTGATTATGTGAGTTGTTACGCTATGCCTTGATTGATTTATCATCAACTGCCTTTAAGTTTCCACGGCTGAGCAAAACCTCTTCTCACACGGAGAAGGTTTGAGTATTATTCACCAGGCTTGCTCAATGCAGGTTGACGATTTCAAACAATGTTTTCCTTCACCGATTGTTAGTAATGTCTACAAAATCTTAGAAAGTATATACTACTCTGAAAAAGCCACATTGGTACTTGCGGTTGGTAGGTTTTGAACCCTAATGATTAAGAGATTACAAGTGTGAAGCCAAGGAGCTTATCCCAACCAGTCAGTTTGAAAGGAATTGCCTAACGAGTTTAGTCAGGCGTTTACATTAATGCTTGTTCTTTTGCATATTTGTAATATTTACCTGTATGGAACTTAAACAAATAATATGAATTAAAAACATTGTTAAGTGCCTAACCTCACAAATCGTAGTCGCGGAGAACCTAACGAGTAACCGGGGCTCCGACTCGACGTGCAGGAGAAGGAACGGGGTGGTTTTTAGTCAGTAAGAGTCTGACACTCCCTCCCGCCTCACCTAGGCGGGAGCAGTCATTCGGTGATTTTCCTCCCTAAAAAAAAAACCTTACAAATCGTATCTAAACGTTGTGTATAAGCGCCAATAATCACACAAGTCAGGATTCGAGTCGATTCAACGCGGAAGACTGAGGAGGCCTTTGTCTACCAGTTGACGTCTTTCGGCTGTTGTTGATGATGATGATGAATCCACGTCTAATGGTCCGTGTTGACTGTTCGGTTTAACTGACCGTAATCAGAGACATTTAGCTATGTAATTATTACTTAAACTGTTCCATAGAAGAGTTCAAGAGACATGAAGTTATGTATGTATGCTATTAGCAAATGGATACTTTATGTTCTACGTGGCATGATTGAAAATAAATCGTTTTAACGAGAGTCTTACCTTGCTGTAACACAGTTTTTGACTAGCACGGGAGGTAAAGTGTAAAACCTATACCGTCAGTGGAAATTTATTACAATTTTAGTATCCAACCTAGTGTCTTGTGAATTACTGTTATACACTACTACTGTTCGCAATGTGTACTTTTTATATGATTTACGTTTTTTGTTATGGAAATTCCACTGTTATGTTTACTTGGACAATTCATTATAATCTTTGCATTTTTGGAGTACCCTGATATTGGTTATGATTTCTGTAATATCAATAGTTTACCACATTTGGTTAGCTCTTTAATTTTGATTAACACATTAAACGCCATGGCGGTCACCAGTGACCGACGTTAGCTGAGGATTTGCCTTGAACAGTTTTGTATTGGCAGTCAAAGGCTTAATTAAAAATATTATTTCAAATACAGCTCAAAGATTATTATGTTGTCGATAGTACATCCTACTTATTTTTCAACTGCTTTGGTGAAGACCAAGGTTCGTACTGTGACTCCACGTGTTTAATTTGTAATAGACGCGCGATGATGCGAAGAAGGTTTCTCAAAGTTACCAAATTAATATTCAATTAACTTTGTGTCTTACGACACAAATTCTAGCATTACAGTAAGTATACGTACTTAAATATAAAGAAGAAGTAACGCGAATCTTCTCAAATGTAAATAGATGCTAATGCGGCACTGGAAAATTGCTGTTTCACAAAAAAAAACAAACACTATTTTGAAAGTTCGTTAGCCTTTATTATTTACATAAGTAAACGGGTAAACATAGTCAATAAGTTTAGTATTTGCCTATAGATAAATAGAACTGCTTACTTTGAAGTTTTATAAATAAGTAAGGGTTTAAAATAAATAGATACATAGTTGGTTAAATTTGGATTTAATTAAAGATTCTAAAAAAGGAATTCGGTTCGTGCTGATAGTCACTACGGTTTTAGTGATGTATAAATCACGGACTTCTTCGTCTTTCTTCACAAAATATAGGGCCATTTCAAAATATTCTCTCGTTAGGTGAAAATAAGGAATATTCTGCATAATCGGAATTATGGAAATTGTTTTCAAGGTCCTGGAGCCGCATAGAACTCCGGGTCGAAGAGCAGAAGTAAGAACAAAGTGGTTTATAGTAAAGCTTAGCACTCACGGTCGATCTTCCCCCGCGGCCGACGCGGTTGCGGTATTTTACAAGGCTACGGGCAGCCTTGTAAATTATAGATATGTATGTACTGCCTTCCCATATGTATGTAATCGTATTCAAATAAAAGAAACGAATTTTCAGATTAAAGGAACACTACCTATAAGACAGAAAAGGTGTATTTATATAATAGAATTTAAACTGTCAAACACCAAGCGGTCACCGGTGACCGCAACCTATTGTTCTATAATTGTGTCTACAAAACCGGTACTCGACGAGTTAATTACATAATGCTTCCTTTTTTGAAATCAATTAAAAATGTCAGTTTATCCGTAGATACTAAATCATTTTCAACTAAGGCATATTAAATTGGTCATAAATTTCCATTAGGTGAATACCTATTACCAAATTGTTGCAAGAAACTATGCCGAAAAAATTTAAATTATTTATTACATAACTTTTGAGGTCTATAAATATGTATTACTATACCAAATAACCGCTTTTTCGAGGTTATGACCTACAGGCGGACAGCAAATGCAACTAAGGGTTCCTAGTTCCTTTAGGTACCCATTCTTCTAAAAATACTTTACATATAGTTATAAGAAGCAACCAGTTGCTTAATCGTATGTAAACAAACGTTGCAGGATACGTTTTTGTCTAAAAAGATAGATCTAGACAATCGAGCATATTTTCATATCTACAACCACTACACACAACCGAAATCAGAAAAAATAATATAGGTATCACCAACTTAAATTAAATAACAATTGATCTGGAGGTCCACTCCACTTATAGATGACTTACTTTTACTGTTGTTGGCATACTTGAATTAAGATTGCCTATTATAAATTGACCCTTACTTTGCTTATGCGTAAGATGACTTAGTTGTTCATACGATTTAAATAATACTCGCCAAGGTTCAATAGGTGTGTTTTGCGGCGTATGTGTTACAATGTTACCTACATAGATAAATTAACATTATGTATAAGTTTATGAAAAACATCAATATAAAACCTAATTAAAACAATTGAATACCTACCCACTTCAAGAAACTCATTCGCTGTTCTAATCTTTCAAAAATAACCATCCACTGAACTGAATTGTATTAAAAGGTAATTAAAACCACAATGGCCTCTGATTGTTTACGTCAATCAATCATTAACACAAGAAAAATAATTAAGTGATCTAGGGAAATTGTTTTCCTCACTTCGGGACTTAAAAGTAGCGTAAAAAATTAAGTAAACATTGATGGAAAAAATTCGTGGATCCGTTTTACTTCCGACGCGGTCGCGTTATGCAATGCAAGTATTTGTAACAAACTTACTGTTTTGTTTGTGATGATGTCAGTAGACCGGTAAAAACGGAGTGGAGTGACAGACAGCCTCCTTCGCGCACCTGCCGCCGCAGACTGAGCACCGTGTGCGCAGCTTCGCCGACAGATAAGCGACTTAACTTGGACCGCGGTTTTTTCCCAAGAGAGGTTAACAGCGTTGCCGCTGGAAGCGCACGCGCTACGTTTAAAAACTGCGATACCACATGATTTTCAACCCTAAGTTTCATTTATGAATTACAGAGCTTTACTTTCGATGCTTGATTTGTTTAATGCTTGCATAGGTACATACGTTTTTTTTTGTTTCGTAGCCTATTACGAAATGCTAACTATTTAAACTGTCAAACACCAAGCGGTCACCGGTGACCGCAACCTATTATCTATAATTGTGTCTACAAAACCGGTACTCGACGAGTTAATGTTAAACATAATGGCCTAGGCCTAGGTCTTAAGGGAAACGTTAGGTTTAGCGAAATTAATTAGCCTTGTATTCCGGCCCAGTCCGCGTTATAATTTCAAAAATGTTGAGCATTTTTTTACTACAGGCACGATAAATTAACCCGTGGAGAAAAATTATGTAAAATCTAGAAATATTACCGACGTGAAGCAACACTTGCGTTGTTTTCCGTCGTGTGAGTGAGGTTACCGGAGGCCCAATTACCCTCCCCTTCCCCAATCTCCCCAATCCCTGAATCCCCAACGATCCTCAAACTCCTAATCTCCAAAAAGCCGGTAACGCACTTGTAACGCCCCTGGTGTTCCAGGTGTCCATGGGCGACGCCGATTGCTTACCATCAGGTGATCCGTCAGCTCGTTTACCGGCTTATGCCATAAAAAAAAACTTATAAATCTGAGTTATCAGTAGTTTGAAGTCTGGCTTTAGCTAGCCTAAAATCGAACGCATTAGCCTTTATTAACGTACATAGATGACCTCAATAAAGATGGAACACACAGTCACAAAAAATCGTGTAGGTAGGCCCATGTATCGAGCCCAATGCTTTTGCGGTCGCTGCGCGTACGGCTCTCGAGACACCGCGACCGTCACGCGCATATTCATAGGCCCATACAACGGGAGCGTATGCTAATATTGGACTAAAACGTGTTAATAGTTCCAAAGAAGCATGTAAAAGTGAAATACCGTGACGCCACCGATCACACACAGTACACAAACATTTTTTTTGTAAATAATAAAGTCAAAAATTGTACACGTTTAGGGGACAGCTTTTTTACTTTATTTTCTACTAAATTGGTAAGTATAATCCCTTTAGATTTTACTTATTCTGCTAATTAAAAATTCTTATACATTTTACCTACTTATTAATTTCTTGAGTTGTAAGTGCAATTAGTGATGTCATCTGAAACGAAGTGCATTTATTTTCAACACGTTCTACCAATATTGTTTTATTGAGTAATAAATTAGTTATTGCCTCTAGAAGATAAAGACGTTTTTATTCAAATAATTCACTATTTTATTTTAAGCTAGTTACATAAGAAGCAAATGTCTAACGGCTAATTAAATATTGGAATTTAAAAGAAGTTTTTATGACTGACTTCCTATTGTGTAATTTAATTTTTTTGTGTCAACAGGATTTACATGATTTAGTTTTGTTTAAGATGTCGCGGAGAACCTAACGGGTTACTGGGGCTCCGGCTCCAAGTGCAGGAGTAGGAACGGGGTGGTTTTTAGTCAGTAAGAGTCGGACACTCCCTTCCGCCACACCAAGGTGGGAGAAGTCATTGGATGATTTTCTCACCTTAACAAAAAAGTTTTTCTTAAGATGAGCGGCATTGTTGTAATTTTAGGTTATTTTAAAAATCCATTCTAAATATAAACGAAAAAATATTATTGCCGGCATTATGAGCTATTTTTTATGTCTGACAACAAACTCAATTCGTCGTTTGCTCAATTTTGAATGATTTGAATGCATGGTAAGTCATGTTTTACACGTATTCAGTTTATATACTCAGTGTGCATTGAAAAAAATTGGGCAAACGGCCCTTAATCATGGTGACTCGGACTCAGTAGCCGTCTTGCGTAAATTATAACTTGTCTGTGATAAATACCGTATAACCTTGTAATGCGTTGTAAGTACTTTGAATAGACAGCACCACTTGTGAACTATGTAATTATGCATTAGTATTTACTCGAGACTAATGGTTTCCTATAGATACACAATCTATATCAAATTAAACTGTCAAACACCAAGCGGTCACCGGTGACCGCAACCTATTGTTCTTTAATTGTGTCTATAATAACGCTATTCGACGAGTTAAAATACGTAACCAAGATATATGTACCTAGGTACCTTAAGTGTATGTATAACTCCCGAACTGCTAGACCAAATTCTATTTTTTATGTAGTGTTTGGTTATTATTACGACGGGGTTTTTATGAAAGAAGAATTCGAGTCATTCTCCAGAAACATCGGTAAATAGTACTACGTGAACCAGCGGCGGACTTAACCTATATATAATTTATTATGTATGTGTTTACCAATCGCGGTACCACAGGGTCCCGGTCATTTGGGAGGCGTACAAGGAGCTGAAGCCAACTGCGATGAAGTCCTTTAGACAAGTTTAATCTAAATGAAATGGGACACAAACCGATGGCTATCCCGGCATTATGGAAGTGCACCCAAGGACACGCCGGTTAGTGTTAAACTATTGTAGATAGTGGAAAAAAGGTAGGGCTGTGGTTGGTATAATAATTATTATTATAGTACTTAGTTACTTACTCTAAAGGTGAATTACGACAAAAAACGGCATCAAGACATTCATAAACCTTATAATGTATGTACAAAGGTGTGACTAGCGTAATATTAAGTAATATTAATATACATATGCGTTTTGTTTACATATTTAAGTGGGCAAGCAATGTTTACTTAGGCTCTCAAGTTTGTGTAATCCACCAAAAATGTTCAGCTTTTAAGGACATTATTCTGAACCAGTCTTATGAATATTTAAGTCAGCTTAGTTGCACCAATATAGCCCTCACATTTTTAAAGAAATAAAAATGTCATAAGATATAGAGAATACAACTGTATTTTATTTATATGTCGAATATAATTCGTAGCAGTACAATAAAGTATATTATTAGGGTTTCATAAACAAGGAGTTCATTAAAAGGTTAATAATACAGCTAAGGATACAATGAACTTTATTTAGTGAGAGGTCTCATCCACAGCTTCTTTTCTAATGGTTTTGCGTTTATGAATAAAGTAAAATTACTTTGCGGATTACGGTTTATATAGTTTAAAATAACAGTGTAAACATTGATTAACACGTTAAACGCCATGGCAGTCACTGGTGACCGACATTAGCGGAGGATTTGCCTTCAATAGTTTTTTATTGGCAGCCAATGCCTTAACATAAATACTATAGTTAACAATGATAGCAAATAGGTAAAGATATGTATCGCAAGCAGAGCATAAGTGGCGCGACAGCGATTGTGGATGTATTATTAAAGGCTTGAATAATTTTTACATACAATGAAGATTTATCTGACACATATGGATCTGCCATTTTGAAATTGGTCCCATAAGTACAATAAGTATAAACATATTCACTAAAAATAGATAATGATAAATCAATCCATAATCAGACCATAGGTAAGTTTGAAGAAAGGAGAAGACAACGATATTGTACATTGCTTCCTCTTGATGCAACTAAGCCTTAATTACTAGGTAAGAAAGTTTAAATTCGCATTTTATATTTTATACATGAAAATTATTAAGTTATTTGGAGATAGTTCAGACGTCATGCTGATTTGGAGGACGAACAGCCCATCATGGATTGCTTGTTAAGCTCTTAGATTCATGTCGCCAAGCCGATGAACCGGCCACATGCACTCGCAGCCAGCAGGAATCACCATGGTACTCGTCTCCCAACAGTCACTGAAATGATAAAACAATTGGACATGATAATCCCACCAAAAACATTCTGTAAAAATCTAGCCAAGTCTTGATAGTTTATCTCTAAAAAGTAATGAATTATAACAAAGTCGTGTCAAATCTAAGGTACCTTATTGCGATTTCGTTATTATTATAGTTAATGTTGTGTGACTTGGCCGTTGAAGGGTAACACCACGTTTTCCAAGTGGCAATTTTCCATCGACAATGAGTAGCGGTTCTGGCGACAGATTGATGCAATGGTGTCATGGACCACCTGGTTTTGTACCCTTGTGTACCCTTAGATATGAATTAAATAGATTGTTATATATAATAACATGTTATGCAATAATATTACCACCAAGTAGACAGTATTGCTATAATGAAGTAGATCACCTATAATTATCTTTCTTAAATTTACTATAATTCTTCTCGAACCAGTTGGGGAACATCAGAAGGAGGTCTTACATCTCTCTGGTCAGTGGTTACAGATATGACTACATAACATACAAATCGTACAATTTAGTATACCTATAACAACTGCTAAGTACCTACGTGTATATAAAAATCTTGGCAAACTTATTTGTACCTACACAAGTATACTAAAATGTATTTAATTTAAAAATGTTTTGAAATCTCGTCTGTTCGCGATAATAATCAAGGATTTTCAGAATTATAATTGTATTTATTTAGCCTCTGTTATGTATTAAATTGTAGATAACATTAATTTGTCTTTAAGTAGCTTTTATTCACATTGAGTTAGGTTTCTATTTTCGTACCTAAATTAGTAAATTATTCAGGGGTTGCTATTAAGTAGTAGTACCTATTAAGTTAGTACCAAAGAAGTATCGTTTAAGGGGGAACATCGTCCAAAGACTCTTCCTGCCTCTAAGGTGAGGCGAGAAGGAGTGTTAGACTCTTACTGACTAAAAACCACCCCATTCTTACTCCTGCTCTTGGAGCTGGAGCCCTGGTAAAGTGTTAAGTTTTCTGAGGCTCTTCTGGGCCTCAGCTCTACTGGGCCCATTTTGTGGTAGTGTGGTAGTCAATTGACTCTTTGACGCACAGAATAAATACGAGACACGCCTTACGCTCGGTTCTGAGGGCCTAGTACGAGTTTGTCTTCATCTTAATGCAATCGAAGCGTTACCGCTTTTATCCCTCTGATTAGCTCGTTCATTGGAGCAGGTTAATTAGAGCGCCGAAAGCGGTAACGTTTCGATCTTGTTAAATATAAAACAAAGTCGTATTAAGCCCACTGGTTGGGCTACCCTTGCTTGGGACCGCAGACCCATGGACAAAGAAGTGAGACTTAGTAAGTATCTACGTAATGAGCTGTGAGAGCTTCATGTAAAACGAAATAAAATAATTTGACTTTAATAAAACAATGGGTGCTTTAAGATATCAGGATTTTCCCAAGCTATTCTTGGTTATGTTTTTACGAACTTTATTTTTTACAATAATTATATTACATTTAACAATTGTACTTTTTACAAAATCTCGTCTCGTCTTTCTTAATTTATTCACCGTAGACAAATTTAAAAGCTCAAGGATTATAAAACAATATTAACAATATAATTTTTCTATCGTCAATTGATAAGTTACTGCAAAATATCGTATATATATTAAATTTATATTTTATGTGGTTAACTTTACATGACGTATTGTGTAACGATCATCACCGGTAGATTGTTTTGTTAAGTTGGTATTGGTTTCAATAGATGACACTACTGGTCTCGTATTTACTTTTGTAGCATCTTACAGTACACAGTATGTACCTCTATACATCCATTCATCCGAAAGTACATCATATTATAATAATAAGTATCTTACCTGAAAATCTAACGAAAATAAAAATAATACATTGAACTGATTTTACTCGTAATGCATGTCTGGATTATATCCTGAGTTTTGACAGAAACTCCCTAGAATAAACCAGTCCAATGATTTAGGTCTGCTTAACTTTGTTTATGATGATTTAAAATTGTTTAAGATTGGTTAATTTTAGACGGAAACATTAGCGTCGCACATTCTAATATTTTTTCTACACAACATCAAAATCAGGCGGGGCAGAGTAGGTAACAATTGTCTCTGTATACCTCTGAATAAGCATTTGAAACTCATCATTAGTCTTGTATCTAATGGTTTTTTATACTTAGCTAGGCTGAAGTTTCTAGATAGACGTACACTATGTATAAGAATTAAAATAAATGTCAAAGGTTCTTTTTTACTATAATTACCTAATCAATTGGGCTTGTTACCTAGCTCGATAGGGCGAACCAAGCAATTAAGTTGAACTTCTCGAGTTTTCTTGTAGATTTTAATGTAATTGGCGAATTGGCGATGCACTGGTTTAGTACGTAACTTTATAAATATTTGTTATTGATAATGTCTTGGCGATCCACAGGTTTAAGTCGCTTCTCATGCCCGATTTTCATGCGCTTGCACATCAGTGACATTCGGCTTATAATCTCTGATTATAAGTTTGAAATTGCCAGTCCCCTTGAGGAACCGTGGTAATTATACCCTCTTTGAGTGAAAAGTGGCCTTTGCTCTGCAGTGGAGACTGTTAATGACGATGTACCTACACCATAATCGAATTGGTTTAGGAGCCAGATAGAGTTCCATTAAATTGGGTATGTTGCTCAACGTTCATATGTTTTATACACCACACATTAACACCTTGAAGTCATTCTCAAGTTCAATTTGAAGAGGTAACATGCTATTACGAAAAGTGTCTGTTGAATTATTCAATAGGTAGGTGAAAAGCCACAGATTTAGCGTTAGGTAGGTTACCACAGAACAAGTAAAATTACCTGTAATTTAGTGTTCAGGTGATCCTGTAGGTACATGTTTTGGGTCGTTTTGCTTCTGAATGTTATGCGTGTGTCAAAGTTTTTGTAAAAATAATCCCATACTCTAAGGTTAATCGTAGCTTCGATTCACAGCATTTAAATAACGCGATATTTCGCCTCACGTATGCATATTTCCCGACACGGCTAATCTACCGGTCCTTAATTGTGGAGATATCGTTATAGTCTCTAAACGACTTTCTTCAATAGATTTTCAAATCTATTATAGAAAAGTTTAAAGTCTAAAGTTTGGCCGATTGGGACTATTGGGAGAGCATCATGTTCTGGAAGACCTACTTACTTACTTTACATTTAATAAACATCGGGAGATGAGATCTAATAGGTACACGTGGTTTTAACGTCCTAGAACACTTGATACTACCAACCGTTCGTTTACTCATTGTTTGCAATGATAATTCTATATGGATCACGTGTCATCACACGAGATGGCTATAGCACGATATCAATGCAATATTGTTGCCTTCACCCAACTTATAGACACATAATAGAGGTTTCTAATGGACCAAAAAAGGCTAGAGAACAATGCTATAGAAAGAAATTTTATAGTCTATTTTCATAAAATATTGTTTTATTGTGATTTTTATTAACACTCAGTTATTATGTTAGGTTTACAACCGAGTTACATCATCAGCCTTTAACTGTCCCATCTCTTTACCTCCGGACCACCCCAACTCTTTAATTCAGAGGTACCTAATTACTGTAACGACGGTAGTTCATTATCATCATCATCAACAGCATACAAGTGTCCACTGCTGAGTAAAGCCTCATCTCACACGGAGAAGGTATGAAAATTAATGCTCGCTCAATAAGTGCTTGCTCAATGCGGGTTGGCGATAACAAACTTATAATTAGAAATTTAAGTCCAGGTTTCCTCGCGATATTTTCCTTCACCGTTTGTCATTGGTGTCTATATAATTTTAGAAAATACATATAACTCGGAATAATTAACATTCATACTAGCCGTTGGTAGATTTCGAACCAGCACCCTCATGCATGAGAAGCGGGCGTCTTAAACCTCCGGGCCACCACGACATTAGTTACTACGATAGTAGTTAATCGATCATAATCCTTGAACTCTGGCACAACTTATAATTTTAATAGAAACTAACTAAGTTACGACAATTTTTTTTTTATATAAACAAGTCTTGTTTCTAGGAAAGTAAGGAATTAAATGATTCTTTTATGTAATAATAGTTGTAATCAACTGCTCAAGGCTGATGTTGGATGAATACAACGAAACAAAAACGATTGAAATTGTAAAAACATTTTTTGTCAGCGTTTCGGGGGGCGTTTCATTTACACCCTGTAGAGTAGTGAAAGTCCTATGTACCTAATGACTACCTAAGAGACGGTGTGATATTGTTTTGACGGTGACAAATAATTAAATATCATGTCGAATATTAGTTCATCTTAACTCGTCGAGTACCGGTTTTGTAGACACAATTATAGAACAATAGGTTGCGGTCACCAGTGACCGCTTGGTGTTTGACAGTTTAAACAGGAATGAACGGCGAATATATAGAAAAGTTGCATTACATAAATAAATTAAGTACATATTTGATTACTTTACCTGGAGTATCGTCTTCTTGTTAAATGGATAGTTTTGTTCCATTGGACGCACGCAAATCCGAGACTCGAACAGACCTGGGAAGAACAAGACATTATTTTTTTAGGGATGGTTATGATATCTAAATGCTTAAACAGGCAAATGTAAGACTAATAGACTGTCTTAATCCAGGTATCTGTTAGAAGAGTAAACTATTAATTAGAGATAGAATTTCGAGCTTCATTGATATTGGACATTATTGTATGAAAGCTCCATATCATTAATTCTATCTCCTAGTAATAAGACAATCTATCGATAGATATATTTATATATATTGTTAATATTGGCCTTAAGTCTGTCGTGGTATGTGAAGGTAAATTAAAATAATGCTTGCATAGTATCTATTGCTCATTCTTCAAGTATGTTTGAAATATCACATTACGATTTCGCCGACTCATCTCAAATTTGGCAATCGTTACTTATTTCTTTTTATTCTCGTTTCAATGCGGTACAAAGTCCACTAACACACTTGAATTAATGCATTATGTTATGTGTAATTCATTAAATAATATTTACATGACGTATAATATAAGTAAAGGACTTGGATTTTTAAGTTTGGAACATAACTGGTAAAAATATATATGGGTTTAACTATATTAATATTATGTGTACTTACGATGTTTCTAATCCTTCGGGGAATACAAGGATTGATAGTATGTATATATTATTCAATGGCAGAAGCAATAAAATGCATTGTCCTCATTATTTGCGATTTGTTTGCTCTTCACTTTAAGCCACTTTTTGCTATGTTTGCATAATGTGTTAACAATTGACATATTGATCTTAAGAATTCTTACGTATCCAATATTTGAGTAATCTACCAGACGGCTATTTTTATTATTTGATCGTCATCCTAGTTCCGCAAAGCAAGCCATAAATCTACTTCTCCTTACCACTAAAGATAGGATCTTTTATGGGAAAGGATCCAAACGAGCAGTGAGATCACCTGACCACCTGATTGTAAGCGACCAACGGCGTAAGTACAGGCTTATATGGACAACTTCAACACCAGATCTTTCGAAGTGTGGGAGAGCCATGCTTCGGCACGAATGGGCCGGCGCGACCGGAGTGATACCACGGCCCCCTCCCTAGTCTCCTGAATCCCCGAATCCTCCACAATCCTTAATTTCCCAATTCCCAAAAGGCTAGTAACGCACTTGTAACGCCTTGGTGTTTCGGGTGTCCATGGGCGGCGTCGATTGCTTACCATCAGGTGATTCGTCAGCTCGATTACCGGCTTATACTAGAAAAAAAAACCAGAGTAGTTACCAGTGCGACCTATCGAAAAGACGGGGCTCCTAGTAAGACCTCATACCTCATTTGTGTCTCCAATATCGTCGCTCGATGTCATGGTGCAACGTACTTCTTCATAGTACGCTGGTCGGTATTCGTATTCGTTAGTGTTCAACTTCTTGATTTTCCTCTCCAAATGACATATGGGGTAGTGTTTCTGAGAAAAATTATTTTATGCATATAATAATGTCGTAATAGAGTAATCTATGGAACATTTTTCGATAATTTTGTTAAGAGTTATAATTACGGTGGAATGTATCGTCATAATACCATTTTTCTCGATCCCGACCTAGAGAAAATATCGATTCGTACATAACATTAAAAATATTGTACGTATTTTTCAAGAACTTGTTCATACTAATTCCTGAACTGGTTGTTCGTCATTCATTATCAATAAAAAAAAGAATCATTAAAATCCGTCTACAAATGCCGGAGTAATCGCGTAACATAAGTACTCACAAAAAATATACAACCGAATTCAGAACCTCCTCCTTTTTTTGGAAGTTGGTTATAAACCGACAAGAACTAGTTAACAAACCGGCAGAATATATTGTGTTTAACGCCTAGCTATTTTTACATGGAATCTAAGAATAAAAACCATTCTTAGACATCCTATTAATGAAACACGATTTTATTTGATACCATCCTTCATTATAAGTATGTTAAATTAATATATTTATGTGGGAAACTTAATGTACATACAAAAAGTGTTTTATATTAAATGATTTACATAAATATACTCGTATATCAGCACTGCGTCATGTGACGGCAGAGGAGAATGGGTATATTTGTGGCCACCCGACCCCTTCTCCTGCTGCAGATGTCGAAAGAGACAATCCCCCTTTATGAACGAAAAGCCCTTCTAAATACGATATTGAAAACGATGTTAATCCTCTTCTTATGTATCGAAGGCCCAAACTATGGGCTTTGGACGTGGCTAATGTATGATGAAGCCAATAGCATAACCATTAACCATACCTCATGGACATCAGACGTGATATTAAGATATGACCCAAAATTGTGCCTGATTCTATAGAATTTAGAATATGTACTAATCACATTGTTGTAGAAAGGAATATGCTCGACTTGGCGAGGTACTGTCTTGCTCCAAAACATATAAGTACAATGGTTTATTATTTACTCACTTGGGCTCCTAACTGCCTGAGCTCCCGTGAACCTTGAAGTGCCGCTGTGTATTCTGGTAAGAGCTGGAAATCAGACAAACATTAGAAGAATTGCTTTCTTGAAAATTAATTACAATAAACCCATGATAATATTAATTATCGGAAATAATACACGGTTTACAAAAATACAGCCTACAGCTCAAATATTTTAACTCCAATCTGGGTTTTGCGCGAAGGTTGGAAGTTCTTGCCGGTTTAAAGCCTCACTTCAACCGAATCATCAGGAAACCGCAATATCTCTAAATGTGACTGAATTGGAAACTAAACATAATTTAAATTATAGGTTACCTCGCTAGGATCTTCACAGTCAGCCTCAGCAACACGCTGCCTCAACAACTCCTGTTGTCGAGCCCTCTCAAGTCTACCACGAGCTGAGTTCAATATCTTTTCAGGGTTCGGGATCCTTAGGACATGTTCTATGAATTCTCTAGCCGATTCTTCATTGGACGACGGGGAATTATATGCCAGGCATAGAGTCACGCAGAGCGCCTAAAAGTTATCCAAAAATATGTTTATACAGTTATACTGGCTTATAGATAAACAATCTGCCCTGAAATTTCAGTCAACAGTCCTAGCGTACTTGAACTATGAGTGGTCACAAAGAAAGGCTAAGCCACGGCAATTAATTAATATCAGCACCAGTCGAAGATTACATAGACAATGTTATGGAAACAAACTAAATATGATTTCATCCTTCTTTCAGTCAAAAACCAAATAATGAACGATGTACGATGATATCTCTACAGGTACTTCTATCTTTTTATCTTCCCATCCCATTGTATATGATAGTCATTTGTACTATTATCATGCACTAAATAAAACATTGTTCCGAGTTTCCGACTATAGAACCGGAAAACAACATATTTACTACTACATCATTCATTCAAACAGATATATGGTAACTCCATACAAAGCGCCGCTACATTGAATTATAGTCCAGTCGTCAGGGCATGTGGATACCCAACATATGAAATAGATATCAGACTATTGGCTGGTAATTGAGGAACATGTTGAATCGATCTGTTTCAATTAGCTATTTAAAAGATATTTAAGTTTTAGTCACGCACTCGACAGATGTCGTGCAAAGCCGCATTAGTCGCCAGTTAAAATCAGAAACTTAAGCTATCATACTTACAAATTCATTTAAATTAATGTAGCAGTTAAGAAGTAGGTATGGTAATATGTACGAGTGTGAAAATAGTCAAGAAAAAGCAATGTCTGTTCGTTAGTAGATATCGATAAATCTCGAGAATAACTGAACCGATTTTGCTGACAATATAAGGATGAAAGGTGTAAGAAATCGCATTTTTATGGATGAAGACACGGGTACAGCTAGTGGTACCTGACTAATAAGTTATTGGACTTATATACAATACAATTGTAGGTATATGTACAAATGTTTGAAGAATGCTATGTGATTTGTGAAGCTGATTCAATATGTTTACGTGTGACGTTTTACGTAATGACATCGGCATTGTGTCTTGGGGTCAATGTATCTTTGTATGCAAATACACAGATTCTTCTAAGTACTTTTCGAAGACATAATTTATACAGAAAAGTGAGAAAATAAAACAATATGTCCGTTAGTTATGAGTTCTTTGCGCAAACGACTGGCTTCCGACGAATACGATTAGTTTTATATCATGTAATAGGGATGATGGGTCGATAATATTATAAGTATGTACATGAGGAACTGATGAAAGTGTTGATATCGAATCATCCAAATATGCAGAACTATTGAGATTAAGAAGAGAAGCGGTATACCAATATCATGTGTGATAATAAAATGTTGTACCTATATTCTTTGTGAATATCAACAATCAACACACGAATACCTAATAGAAATGACCGATAATAACATGACAACTGCATAATGCGAACTGTTTTCAACTAACAGCAGCACCGGAACACATCATTGCAAATAACGGTTAATTAGTTTTAATGCGGGGTCAGATTCAGCTGTACTGGCATATGCCGTACATGCTGTGACGAGGATGACGTGTTAGCATCGAGGCAAATAGCTATTCAACTGATTAGTCCCGAGCGACAAGCCCGCGCTCTGATTGGCAACCGTCCGTAGAGCTCAACTGCTACCACACTGCAGGATCACAGGGGCTCTCAACATTCATACGAGTTTTGTTGATTTTTTTATCAGACCTTTTTATCCCTGAAAGCAACACTCACTGGTAATATAAGTTATGTCTAAAGTCTCAGATTTTAGAAACTGATTGGTATGTTCAGGGCTCAAACCTGGATTTACTGTAGTTACCTAAAATGCTCGAAAATCTAGTAGGTAACACCTTTTCTATTCTAAACACTCGAGAGGTAGAATGAAGTACAATTTATTCTGCTAGTAACAAAATTCGAGCATCTATCTGTATTCTAAAATGTAATTAGATTCTGCCTTCTTGGTACACTGATGAGCTCATGGGAATCTAACATAATGAATGTAAAGAATGCGTTACAAACATATTACTGGTCAAATTACCTGGCGATGGCAATATATTTTTTAGTTGGTATCTGTTTACTACAATACCCTATTAAATTTCCTTACGAGAATATGTTTTATTCTAAACATGAACTTCACTTTCTGAAGCCGGTTAGATTGTATACGTACTGCGTAGGAGAGAGTAAGATTGGCAAGCCCTGCGGTCACAGCTTTGGCCCGTACTATAGGTACACTCTGCTCGCAATACGGTCAATGTAACATGCTATGATGATGGCACCTTGCAAGTGTTTCTGTTTTTTTATGCACAATACGTGTCTACGTGTGCACATACGTCAATGATTCTCCATAACCAGTGCATTTAACAAGTGTTTATTTATTTGCAAAACGAATTGGCGCGCAATGTCAGCTGATATTGTTGACTTCTTATCGCCACAGCTTGAAGGGTAAGCGACGTTTTTGTGACAAAACAATAGAACATTTTGTTTTTTTTCCATACATCTACATATTTGTTTTAAATAGTATTGAAATAGGAGAAGTTATCGATCGTTTTGACCAAATACAAAACCAAAATAAACTTCAACTAGACACGTGTTCATTGTTTATTTATATGAATTTTATTTTTCATTGCGTAGGAACCAATATATTTGTGGACTATTAATATCCTAAGTAGTTCCTAGTCCTACCTATGTATGTGATGATCATCGATGTACAACGTCATACGGCCTTTACAACGGTCACACAATACATTTATTGTCGTATAAAAGATCGCTAGTTTTTAACACAATGAAATTGAATGTAACTCTGCTCCAATGAGGAGGGACTGCGGATCCTGCCAAATACGACAAAGCAAGGGGTACTAGAGCTACGTAAAATCTATATTTAGAACCTATTATCTTGCCAAACCTCATCTTAATCTTGAGTATGAAGTGTTGTGAAGTTTTGATCCAAGTAAAATGTAAAAGATTATATAGAAATTTTATCGGTGAGTTAAATAAAGGATCAATCACAATAACAGTAAGGTAGGTTTTAAACGGATGTTTAAATGAGCTTAACATTTTTGTTTATATTTAAGTCTTGGTAATCTGTCTGAATGTGTGCTGAGCAAGGAAGATACTTAGTGATGTACAGGATATAAACAACTTTGATAACATTTGTACAGACACAATATCCGTAATAATATCCATTTATATATTCTTAAAATCATATTGCGAATGTGATCAAGGAGATTCGTTTATCTGATGTGGGCGATGCTGCGTTTTATTCATTACTCTGCTAGAAGTTTGTGGCTCACTGTGAGATTTGACCAGTTATCCAATAATTGAAGAGCGTGGCGTATGATCCAAAAATGTATTCATTTTAAAAAACTTATGACACAATTCATCTCAACTTTTTAAAATTTTGTATGAAAGGTAGGTAAGTGCAAAACTAATCCTTTAACTTTAGTTGGACATAACAAAACGCGGATAAGAAATAAATAGAATTTTACCGGGTAGGGAAAAAATGTTACGTCTACGTGCATAATTACAGTAAAATACCTACTAGACGCACTTTTTCCCGATAAGCAGTTCACGCTAAGATACGCTTATTTCATTAGAGGTGGCAATGTATTGCTTTCTTTCAAAGATAACATTGACGTTTAGTGCTGCGTATAGTTATTGTTTCAACGTTATTTCCTAATTCCTATAAAGGTGTTAAATCGTGAATGGTGATTTAGTTATATAGTTTTGTTATTCAATACAACTGTTTATTGACATAATGTGGGATTACTGTGATACAAAGTAAGGACACAAATCTTTGCACAAATGAAAGGATTGTTGAGACGGTAAATGCTGCTTTTTTGTGTTTTTTGAAAGGTTAAAAATCTTCATTTTTGTTTATTGAAATGAATCTCATTATGTACATTTATTTGTTAACTGCAAACTAGTAAACTTCATCAGTTTTCATTGAAGATACATTGTTTACTAAAAACGTTAATATGGTAACGTAAGTTAACATTAGTGGTCAAACGTCGCGCGTCGGCCCATTAAATATAATAGAAATCTTGTATTTGTAAATGAAATAGTGATTTTAAAATAGACTTGGAAATAGACTTCCTACACTAACCTAACCTAACTTTTCAGGTGGGTCAGACATATCCGTGTCCATGACCTAGACACTTAATCATATTGTAGTGTCACCGCTATGTTTTACAGCATTCTTAGTACTGAATATTTAGTTAGAAAAATGCAACTAAATTGTGACAAAATGATTGCAACAATCTATTGAAGTTTTGGGATACGAATAGAAAAACTCATACAATTTTGTTCTGTTATTCCTTGCATCTGTATTCCGTAGGTGTAGTGATATATTAATATGTAAAAACAAATAAAAATGCTAATTTATTGTGACTCTGAGATAAACACAAGGAAATGAATGTCAATATGGGTCAATTCAATTGAATAAGTTATTTACCTACCTAGTAAATTACTACGTAGAATACCTAGATACTTATTATGGGTACAGCAACGAGAGAATGATTGATAATAGTGCTACCGTGTCTACTCATCAGCAGATCCCAGGTACCATCGCAGGAGTGTAGTTTTGATCTATTTTGAGGCGTTTTTATTTCGAGAACTCTAACAACCGATGAATTGCTAGAGTACCTACCTAGGTTTGAAGTCTAACATTATTGTTACATTTTTTGAATTTACACTTTGTCATATAAGGAATTTCGGAATTAAAAATTACAGTACCTAATGGTTTCCTACATTAAGGGTCTGTATACTTTCGATCTTGCTCTATTTTCAATCTTTCGATTAGCAATTAGGATTTGCAGTACCTACAATAATTTTTTAAATATTTTTTATATATTTTTATTTGCTGTTGTAGTTTTAGTTAATTTTAAATTGTGTAGGTACCTATATTTATTCATAATATTATGTTATTTAAGTGTATTAAATAACTACATAGGCAAAAATATAATTATATTTTGTTTTGTATGTTTCACAGCACCCGTAAAGCGGAGATGCGTAGGAGTCAACGTGGTACTTTCCACATGGAGCCGGTACCAGAGCACGAAGGCCTTTTCAAAGTCTCTCAAATTGGAGACAGGTACGTACCTAATCAGTAGCAAAATCTCCACTATGTATTTATTACGGTCGAAATTTAAAACCGATTTTAATCGAAAATGTCTTAATCGATCCCAGTTTTTGACAGAAACTCCATACAAACATGACATAACATAACATAAGGGTGTTTTTAATATCGTGCGGATATCATCACGCGTGCGGGATTGCCCCGCATGCGTAAGCCCCGCAAATGTCCTTTTCATAAAAGTATTTATTATAATGCGTGGAATACGGACGCGGGACTATAGACTATCGGGTTTCACGCTGCGTGAAATTTTCTGCATGCGGGGCAATACCGCACGCGTGACGAAATCCGCACGATATTAAAAACACCCTTACGCCGTTTATCCCCGAAGGGGTAGGCAGAGGTGCACATTACGGCACTTTTCACTATTTATGTTATGTGAGTCTCATGTAGTAGGAGGTGAGCCTATTGCCTATTCCAGATTCCGTACTACTACTGAAAATTAAGTATATAAAAATCCCAGTAGGTAATACTTTGCCCGACCAGGAAATCGAACCCGAGACCCCTTGCCAGGCAGTCGCATTCACCACTCAGCCAACGAGGCAGTTCATACAATTAATTAATGTCCAAAAGTCGACGAATCCACAGATTTGTATTGTATATTAAGTACTGTTTGGTTGTTTTTCTCCATTATTCACCATACGTCTGTAAATGTTTGTTCCTGTTCAAAGGGTCACAGATAGCCATTTTGTTTTAATCAAAACAATTCGTCGTGTACCAAAAACTGTTATTTCGGGTCTGGGTATAAAGAATTGTGTTGACGTATCCATGTTAGTATATCCATGTAAGTTGTTAATTACAGAAGAAACTCCTTAAAAATATGAAACTAATATATCTTCTTATACATTATGATTGTTTTTTTTCTTCGCGTCGTAAGTTGCAACGGATCGACTGAATGTGGTTTGATTTATTTTTGTGGCCAGTGTTAGTAGCTTAACATGTATAATCTAAAGTTATATCTAAGAAATGTAGGCAAAAAATAATTATAAATCTTAATAATAATAAATCTTTATTCATTACTAGCTTTTGCCTGCGACTTCGTCCGCGTGGAATAGTGACTTCCGGCAGAAAAGTATAGATAGCTGTGCCCGCGACTCCGTCAGCGTGTAACTCTTGTGTATTAAGTTAATGAATGGAGTAACTTCTCCCGTTTTCCCAATATTTCCCTTCACTGCTCTGCTCCTATTGATCGTAGCATAATGAAAAGTATACTATAACCTGCCCAAGAGTATAAAGAATAATTGTGCCAAATTTCGTTAAAATCCGTCGAGTAGTTTTTGTTTCCATAACGAACATACAGACAGACAGACAGACAGACAAAAATTTTTCTGATTGCATTTTTGGCATCAGTAGCGATCCCTAACCACCCCTTGATAGTTATTTTTTAAATATATTTTATGTACAGAATTGACCTCTCTACAGATTTATTATAAGTATAGATAAGAAATTGTTCATGGTACAGATAAACATCTTAATTTAAAATCAGAGATCTCACTAGGTTTGAATGCCTGTACTATTAAGAATATCCTGTATCACAGGCGAAAGGAGCACTCATAATATTACTAATTCTAGGACAAGTTATTTATATAAACAAATTCCTTAACATAAGTAATCGATCAAAATTAAATTTGATTATTTAATATATGTATATTAAATAATCAAATTTAATTTTGATCGATTTATTTATGTATGTACATACATACATACACACGTACATAACTACATATCATGATAGGTAACTAAATATTAATATTATCGTAAAAGTACATTTATTTTATTAAACAAGTAATTATATTACCTTAAATACAAAACATAGATATACATATGTATGATATACATATGTATACATGTATATATATATACATAAAACATTGTAGGAACTATAGTACTTTTTTTTTTTTGAGGGGGGAAAATCATCCAATGACTTCTCCCGCCCGGGTGAGGCGGGAGGGAGTGTCAGACTCTTACTGACTAAAAACCACCCCGTTCCTACTCCTGCACTTCGAGCCGGAGCCCCGGCAAAACCCGTTAAGTCTTCCGCGGCTCCGTATCGGCATCAGCCTTGTTAGGCCCCATCTGTGGTGGTCTGATGGCTCCTTGAGGCGCGCGCGGAACGCGACGCGTGCCGTACGCTCGGGCCTGGTTCTGGTCGGGCGGCGAGTCACCCGTGCTCGCCGTCCGCAGGCCCGTGCTTACGGTGGCCGGAGATCGTCTCGCGATCCCCGACGCCCGGAGTGTCTCTCGCGACGGCCGGGTCGTGAGGAGGTTCGTTCCCTCACGCGCTCCGCCTCCTCCTTAGCTAGCATGACTGCTTCGCAGAAGGAGGAGACGGCATCCCAGTCCCCCTCGCTCCGTACCATGGTCTGAACCAGAGCCGGATGCGAGAGGTCGCCGTCGCCGATCACATTCCTGAGGACACGGCGGTGCTCAGTCCACGCAGGACACACCGCCACCGTATGCTCCACCGTGTCCTCCGGGCGATCCTCGCAGTGATGACACCCGGGCGTTTCCTCCCGCCCAATCCGAAACAGGAACCTACCGAAACT